TGAATAATAAATAGAAAGCTCCATTGTACGATACATTATTACCATGAAATTATCTCTTTTTCAGAATTAAACCTGCTTTATTTATACGCATCGATCTGCTCCTGTAATTGTTTGCTGGACTGGGCGCTCCAGTTATTCGTTTTGAATTATCTGTCTGTGCGGAGCTCAATTCATTATATACAGTTAACAGTTAAAATATGGGAAAAAGTTCATTTAAAAATCAGACTCCCGTCATAATTATTTCTCGCGCATTTTTTGCAGTAAACAATAAATATACGTTTATGTCAGTAACGAATGTAAACATGTCTCCATCTAAATGTAGAATTGAAATTTTAATTTTTATTCCATATGCTTATAAAATCTATAAAAAAATTATAGATGCAGGACACCTAATAGATCTTCTAATGCCAGGTCGTCCAGAAATTAATGATAACGCAAGAAACATCTTATGAAGTATCTTCAAAAGTTAACAGCTAAAGGGTGATCTTTGCCGTAGGCTACAATTTTTGAAGACCATGATGAAAATGTGCTTTAATCCATTTTTTCATAGTAAAGTACTGTTTAGTGTTGAAACTATGTTTTGTTTAAATGGTACGGCAAATAAACAACATCGTGGTCATTCGTGCAAAAATAATCCCCGATGGATGAGAGAAAATCATACACAACATCCACAATAAAATGTTTGAACAGGGATTTTCAATAAGAAAATAATGAATGTACAATTTCTTCAAAATGACTTAATTCCCACTCTCGCGGTTGCTAAAAAATTGGAATAAGCATACTCGGTTATCCATGGAAATTTTAATCATATTGCAATGCATTGATTCCAAAAGTGTAACGGACCAACCATATTCGTAATGTCTTCCCAGTTCTAAATCTAAAATCAGCAGTAAACGAAATAAAATTCTAGTCATGCCTTATGTGGAGTCGAGTTTTCAGCTCGCTTCGCATATTTCTTAGAGCAGAGTGTATTTTTGTAAAATGATATAATTCATATAATCGTTAATTTTCATTCTATTATCACTACTATTTATAATTCTAATGACCATGACTTCAAATTCTGATAAATACAATTCAACATTTCTAAAGGATGCATTCGCAAAAAAGGGTCTTTGCTTTGCCAGGTGTGAAAACATATATATACAGTATAATAAACGTCTAAATAATTAGTCATAAAATGACGACCGATTCATCTAACGGTTTCAGCATCTGTACTGGACATCAGAGTAAATATAATAAATATAAGGCATAGACATCGGCATAAAACATGCACTAATTCACAAAAATATAGGCACTATGCCCCTAAACAATTATTGCAATGGTTCCTTTTGTTCCCAACATCCTTGCATATTTCGTAGTAGGCAAAGTAAAACAAATAGATTTGGGGTAACCACGATTTAATTCGTGGATTAGTATCGATCTCAGTATCGAATAATATTCCATGGCCTGATATTCACCAATATTGAATCTTACTTACCGCATATATCATTTACTTTTCAACTTTGATTTTATCTTTGACCTGACGTTAACAGGAGAAGTGGAATTTGTCCATATGGATATTTTGAATATATTTAATCCGCAGCGAACTATTGAGCTAATTATTTTTGGCAGTCGTCGTTGTAGTCATAATTGAGTTGAAATAACCTCGAAAACCACAAACACCATCGTGGATAGGTTTTCTACCTTTTTCATGTATTCGGAATCTTTCGAGAATTTTCACTATGTCGATACTTTCTGGTTGCTGGCGCGTACATGTTGGAGTTGGGGCCAGTCAGACATTTTACCGAAAACATATCAACGATATCTGGTTCAGTACCTTGGAGTTTAGAAAAAAGAGTGTGGTTGTGAAATTTTCCTTCAAAAGTTTTATATTGTTTTATATTGACCTTCAAAATATTTCAAACTACATTAACGAATTGGTACTATACATACGTACATACATACGTACGATGACTTGTTTTTGTTTGCCTTACACACCAGTTTAAAGCTGACTTTTATTTCTGAGAGCTGAAAGCTGAAAGCTGAAATTTCTTTCCCGGTAACAGAAAAATCCATTTCTTTTGAAATTTGAACTAATTTGGAATATGATTTTTCTACATAGAACTTATTAAAAATAAGCAACTTGGATGGTATCATTGTAAGATCATACATGTGTGGTGTCAACAACAAACATCTAGAGGTGTCAAGGACGATTTTATTAATGTCTTACCCGAAAGAATTAACCAATTTTGGTACCTCGAACATTACCAAAATCATCACCCAATCATGCCTCATAATAGTATTATAAAATCGTCACAAAATACCTGTACTCAACATTTAAATTTCCATTGGGCGATTATGATGTAATAGTCCCCAATCAAAATATATATTTAAATGAAATATTATATTGCTTACTGATACATAGTAGTATCCACTTTTAAAACAAAACCAGATTCAAAGTACTTATAAGCTTGCAAACTCAAAAAAGCCTTCATCTATTCCATAGCATAAAAGTGATGGGAAAACACCAAATAACTTATAATATCCATATCGATAAGTGGTGGAACTCCGTTAATTGAATAGTCTCGACTATCCATGACTAAAGTAAATGGATTTAAAACATCTAATTATTCTAGTTTCGTCTGATATATAAAAAACATTTCATTAGGTAAACAAAACAAAATTTTTTAGTTTTTGAACATTAACAATATCGGGATTATCTTGTAATAATTTCTTTCACATAATTTAAGCCTTCTAAATTTTAATCTAATAAGCATTTTTCGACATTAAACGAATCAATAAATGAAAATCTCATTCTCGGTTAATTTAAACATTATTTTAATGAGTATAACAACGAAAACCTAATTGAAAAATCTTAATTAAATAAAAAATCTATCCCTCTTGGGTAAAAACTTGGTTTACTGGATTTTCTTGTTTAATCTATTACGAAATTGTCCCTTTTTAATGACCAATTATCTGCCATCATTGCAACGTTCCATAGACCTTGATAACTGCGTTCCATTTCTTTTATATCTTGGCGGAACATCTCACCCTACTTCTCACTCACGGCACCAAGTAGTCCAGATGTGAGTGTAAAAAGTTTAGTTTTATACTCATATTGCATTTTGTTTCCCTAAATTAATGTAACATATTTTCTACAATGCCTTTGTAATTTGAATATTTGTTGCTTCCTAGAAAACCTTTTATGACATCAGTTAATGAAATCCATGCAAGCTTTTCAGATTCGATTATGGTATTCACCAAGTTTTGATCTTGCATTAATGGCATTGGAGGACCTACAAAAATTCCTTCCTTTAATTTTGCATTTTAGAGAGCCAAATATGTATTTAAAACGTGCTCAATCTTTACTTAAAGCTTTAACTCACTGCTTCATCAGCCCTATTTTAATATACGGTGGTAAGAGAATTTTTAGTGGACCAATAAGACATCGTGAAAAATATTTTTTGATTCGGGAGTTAAATTAACCCTTTTTGGTCAGTTCTTTTTCATTTAATGTTGCTGTCGGTTCGTAGTGTCGCGCAAAAACAGCAGGGGTACTTTGTATATCCTGACTACTGACCTAGTAGTCCTACAATTTTTATGCAACCACAAATCATCGAACTATAGTTCTTGTATTTGATTTTTTTAAGCAGTAGTTCCAAAATTTCCTTACATTTTTTCATTTGCATAGGATGAACAGGTACACAAGCAAGAACATTTCCGTTGTACTTCTCTTGGATGAGTGGATGAGTCAATAAAAACTTCCAGTACTGAGAATTTTAGTCTATACCAAATTTTTTATTAGGCTACGAATATCGGTGCAATAAACAAGTGACCACTTTGATCAAAATAGCATACCAATTTTGTCTCACGCTTCCTGAAATATGAGATTTTAACATCTTGTGCTTGTAAATTTAAATTTAGAAGTCTAGATGCTTAAAATTTTGAAGTTCCTGGTAAACCTTAGTTTTTCACTAAATCATTGCCGAGAAACACTCCATATATCACCAACATCGCTAATGGTATCATCTATTTCAGATTCAGAAAAACTGGTGAATGGATTCTTAGGCATTGGGACATCTCTGCAATGTGACACTGGCCTAATTGCAGACTTGAGATTAGCGTAAACAATGCTTTTCAAATTTTTAATATTTAATCCACGAACATTGCGCATGGAGAAATGGCAATCATCATGATAATTTATTGGCTCTCTTCATATCAAAATAGGGATCTCCTATTACCTTTATTTCAATCTTTTTAAACTTCTTCTTCACCTACTATGTGGATCCCAAGGTTTGTCTTGATCACCAATTTTTACTTTAAAATAAACCTAGTATTATTTTTTAAACCGAGGTGTAATTTCACTTCTAATTTTTTTAACCACAAAAGAAACACACATAGCAAAACATATCTGGAATATTTTTACAAAGTCTTGGCTTAACAGTCATCGTGGTTATTTGTGGACTCTCTTCATTTCAGATGCATTCCAAAAGATTGGGATCGCCTGGTTCCTTTATTCCAATCTTCTTAAACCTTAAAATATTTTTACAAAGTCTTGGCTTGGCAAATCCACGACAAAACTTCAAGAATCCCAGAAACTATATTTTACTTTCAAAGATTCCCTGTTAATTTATGCAAAATGTATGCCAGTGGTGTAGCAATTTCAATTTTTAGAATGTTATGTAATATTAAGAATATGAAAAACACCAAAGCATTATATCTTTGTTGGCTTGTGATAATGGCTCTCCATCTCAAAATAATACCTTAAAGCTGACCACACAAATGATTTTATACCTGACCTGTTACAATTGTTTCCCCTAGACGGCCATATTTGATCAAGCCATTTGGAATGCTTAATTGAAGTTATGAGTTATTTATCACGTGACGAATGCACATGTGTAGGCAATAAAAAACTTTATCGTTTTCAGTTATTAGGACCTTTGTTAAGGTTTTCCTCGCTTTCCGTTCACTATTAAGTCGAGATCCAACAAATAATAACCATATTCTAATGTCTGTTTCAGTTGCGATCGAAGACGAAATGAGGAACGCGGCAGATCCGTCTCCAGTTGAGTCAAAACTGTCAAACGCGTGGAGCGCTTTACGTCAGAACAGTCTGTTGGGTCGCATTATCTTCTTTTACCACTACACGTGCACAGCGTGCTTATTGCTGCGCCTCTTCGTCTAGAGAGCGCCGTTTCCTTTAGTCGTGGTTGGAGAGGATCGGAGCGAGCGAAAAACGTCTCGGTTGTGTTCTAAATAATTTCTTAAAACGTTAGGCTTTTAAAATTTTAACACGTAAGGCCGCTTGTTAGCAAACGACAACCACCGAAACGTTTGCGGCATAGAGCTTGCGTATACGTTTTCAGGACTTGAAACGCTTGGTGATGCTTCATTTAAGCAGAACAGCCAATTCGTATCAAATCAACCGAAAATATTGCGAATTTTCGAAACGTCCACATTTCCAGAGTCAAATTTTAGTTAAAATTAATATGAGAATAAAATAAAAAACAGGACAGCGAATGGAGCCCGAACTTTTCCTACGCAAAATGGTTCACGGCTAATTTTTTAACCAATTTGGAATGTTTTGGTCATTAAGGTTCTGAACAGCAGCATTCATGGGCCGCATTTCTTCTATGTCCGGTTTTCGAAATTGGGCAGCAGTTAATTTTAATAATTTCCTACCAACAATAACCCATTATAAATAAAAACTTCACTTTTTGATACAATTGTTAATTTTTGGTTATTTTGTGGTCTTTAAAAGTCAATTTTTTTATAAAGAATGTACTAAAATAATAATTAAAACAAAGACTGAATGTTTAAATCTCTTTAAAAATGGGAAGGGATGAATCTTAACAATGTTTAATAACCGTTGATTTCGTTAAAAGAAAAAATCAAATTATAACGGGCAAAAAGAATGAAAATATAATTTATTCGAAGACAAATTAAAATTGTAAAGTAACAAACAAAACACAAATAATTTTAGCAATTTAGTATATGGGTAGAGTGTACCAACGACTTTATGTATAGGGTGGTCCATTTTAGATTATCCTATACCTTGTCTCAATAAGTACGGCGCTGAGAACAATGTATACAGAGTATTGTTCCAGGACAGTAATCAATTTTTTTTTATTGGAACATTATGAACATTTTTAAAAAATCCATTTATTCGCTTAATTTTGAGCATTTTGAGTAGTTTTTGAGAAAAATGAATTTTTCTATTTTTTCGCTGAAAAACACCTCTTTATATAGAAAACGTGTTCTAATTATTTGCATTACTTGTTGATTTTATATTAAATATAAGTAATTATTGTCTAAAAGATACTTAGTTAGAATAGGAGACTATATAGGTAGATTAGGTAGATTTAAAACAAAATACACGAGTTATTGCAGAAAATTGGGCATAACTACTAAACTAGCAATTTTTATAATAAAAGCTATATGTACGAAATGTTAAAGAGTTAAATCCCAAACCCAATAAAACTGCTAAATACAGGGTAAAGAAGAGTTTTTTTTAATTAGAAAAGACATTACTTGATGGTTGATGTAACCACCCTGTATAATATATTTTCGCCATAATAGATAGATCAAAGCATTAATTATTAACCACTTTCATGGACCAATAATAAAAATTACCTATTTTTCCTTTCAAGCGGAAAAACACATTTTTCCAAAAACATTAATTTTTCTCAAAAACTACTCAAAATTTCGTATGCTATGTGATGACAGAAAATACTCCAAACCAAGCCAATAATTAGAATTTTTAAAAATATTCATAGCATTTCATTTAAAGAAATAAAATTGGTTACTGTCCTGGCATAAATAAAATATATACTTAGGGTCAAACAGTTTTTGCATTTAATATCTTTATTGAAATAAGGTATATGAGTATCCTAAATGTACCACCCTGTACTATAGGCCTTCCTAAGTAGTCCCAAACATCTTCAATTAGGTTCAGGTCTGGAGTAACTGCTGCTCAATCTACAATTTGAATGTCAACCTACTGATCGTGATTTTTGCAACCTGCAATGTGAGCGTTATCTTGCATAAGGACAAAATTATGGCCAATATATACCGATTAGCTGTTAAAGATCCCTTACGAAACAGTACTAACTCTGCTTGAATACTTCACTAAATCACCTTCAAAATTTGAAATACATTGGACAAATCGCTCCCATGGATGTCTGGTAAAGTCGAATAAAATACGATTTTTGTCCTAAACAAAAAAGCTGTATATTTAGACTTGATGGATTGTTCGCACCTAATGGAGATCATACATGTATCCTAAATAATGTTCTTTAAAAAAAATCTTTAGGTCAAAACGTTTTTAAAGTTTTTAAAATTATGCGAAACTTTTTGTGACGAGGTTGTTTCAGTTTGTTATTATGGTATATAATTATAACGTGAGGTAAATGCGTCTTCTATTTTTCTAACTTCAATTTTAAAAATATGCTGTAGGATTTAGAAAAAGAAATTGAATATTAAGGTTATAAGGGTTTTCGTATAACAACCAAAATCACCCATTATATAGGATGTATTGAAAAACAGTTATTCCAACAAATTTTTGTCTTAACCTTAAATATATTAATTATTAAAAGCCTTGAAAAAAATCTAAAATGGTCGTTCTGTGTCATATCACCATAAAGAAAAATAAGAACCTTTGATTAACAGAATATAATTGGTAGTGTTGAAGCTCTAAAACACTAAAATACAGTACAAAAAGACTCTTAAAATTGTACTGAATAATTAAATTAAATTAAATGAAATCAAGTTGTTGACAAAATATTTCAAAATACCCTTTTCTTGGTAAACTAAAAACAATATCTCACTTGTCGGAAAATATTGGAAATTCGATTTAGCTTACAATATTGACAGGGAAGCCATGAACTTGGATGTACCTATCTATTAAATATTACCAATTATATGAAAACAAATTATCACAGTTCATATTGATATAGCGGAGGATATTTGAAATTTAGCCAAAAAAATATATATCAATATTTGAAAAGAAATATATTGTCCAATGGTTAAAATAAAAAATATGAAGTTTTATTATTAACTCTATCAGACGTTTGTCAGAACTGAAGTTTATTTCTTGTGTTGATATTTCGGTCTACCGTTTGTGAAACTTGAATTCCAAATTAATATTTTTTATTTATAATAGGTTATTGCTAAAATTATAGGCATATAGCCGTCGTCAAGATCTACAGCATACTAAATTGGCTGAAAGACATTTAGCATAAGAAAATTGTTCGAAAAGTTTTATTGGTAAGGTAAATTAGCCCTCGCCTATCGAGCACTTAATGATATACAGGAACTTTACAATAACGAAAAAAATACGTTTGCTGAGGAAAGCCTCGAATATAATTTCCTTTTTGATATAACTTCGATATTATTTATTTCTCTCTCTACCACTAAAATTTAGTAAAATAAATATTTGTTTACAAAAAATCTGGTCTTATTTATTCCACTGAAAATTTGAAAAACTGTCTCATTTATCGTTATCAAAAGTTGCGGACTTCATAATTACAACAGTTTCTTAATTTTAGAAACTTTTAGCCGCAAAAATGATGTAAGGTGTTCGAAATTGATGTAGACGGTGGATTTATGACTTATAAGGTATACGTTGGCCTGTATATTATTGCATGATGTCTTTGTACCTATTTTCAGTGGTTTTGCATATTTTCCATCAAAAGTAAATCAAAACCAACAGTTGCTACTAGTCAGCAGTAACAAATTTACCTGTTTATAGTTTTATTTGCATTTCCAATACAGCCATCTTTCACCACTTTTTATAATGATAAACGAAAGCTGCGTTCATTGCATATTTTTATATCTGTTTTTAACTGTCTGAAATGGTTTGAGGTTATCTTCGTCTGAACTCTCTTTGTTTATCTACCTATATACATTACCCTAACTGATAAAATATGTTCTGTTTGTAACTAACTGAAAATCGAAAATGTGCAGCGTATTTTCTTTCAATGCCCATTTTATGCCCATCTTCGTCAAATCTTTATAAACAATATCACGGATCTTGTTAACTCATTAAAAATAAATTAAAATTATGTTTGCAGTTGCAAATTGCGGAATCAACTCAAAGAAGGCACGATCATTTCTGCGAAATGGATAATTCAATTGCTGGACCACTTATTAAACAGATCGAGATTTGTGATGAGGCTATGTATTGCTTAGATGCAGCAAATTAAAGACAGTATTTTTTAATATGATGCTTAGCAGAGAAAGATAATTTTCTTTTCAGAAATAAATAGAAAATGCAAAACAGGAAAAAAGCAGATTAGGACGTGATATTCAGAGGACACGACAATCTTGGAACGCAAGAAGAAGAAATCATTACAATATTAATTAAACTCTTGCGTCTGGAATTCATCTTTGTTTTGTACAAGTACCAAGTTTCTTAGTTCTCCTAAAACTTGGTGACAATCAGTGAGAGCTAGAAAGAACTTACTAATATTCAATCGATGTATATTAAAACAAGCATTATTTAAAATAATGTTACATCTTCCAACATTTTTAAATTAATGGAGATATCAAAGAAACTACTGAAAATAAGTATAAGGAACTACAAAGTGTGAGATAATTATGAGACACCCATAACAATCAACTTTTGCATTCAAAACTTTTCTATATAATAAACTGGGATGAAGATTAAAAAGAATCCTACTCTGTATAATGTTTTGTTCACTAAAATTGACCTTTTAGCATCTAAAAAAAGACGTTTCTTTTTTCAAGTGATTACATTATATAGTTATAATCTACTGTGGTTTTCCAATTAAATATCACTAAAGTACTCATTTAATGCTTTTCATAATTGTTTTGCAAAAACTATCGGATAACTGTAAAATAAATCAAACTGATAGAAAAATTTATAAATTTAGTTACTCAAACAAATATGTATGAATATATGCATATTTTTTAAAGTTGTCAAATATTTGGAGAATTTACTGACACATGCTGTACAATATAATATACATTTAATTGTTTGTCAAAATATTCATTCTTTTTACAAAAATCATTGAATTTTAGAGGGAATATTTACCTTACAACCATTCGCCCTACTAGTTTAGTTTACATCACTTTTTTTATATTGTAACGCGTAAATTTTAGAACAACCAAAAATATTCGACTTTATTAATAGTCGAATATCTATTAACAATCACTGAAATGGACGACAAAGTTCGGTTGGTTTGATAAGTTTTAATTAATTGAATAGTAGACTTTCTTATGGGTTTTACGAAATCTATTAGAAAATGCACGAGAAAAAGCACAAAAATAATGTAAATATTAAATTTGCTAGCCTGATATTTAAAATGGCCTTCGCAACGGAAGGCGACCATTCGTTTTTTTCACGCTTCGTACCGCATCGCTTTCCAAATGGTAACAAATTTCCTAAAACTCATAATAAGGTGATTGTTGGTAATTGAGGGATTATAAACGGTGGAAAAGTGGAAAGCTCCATTTAATTTTGCGCCATTTAAATGAATTACGAAATCAACTTACAGCCGTAATAATACATTTTTGTTTAAATTATTATTTAGTAGTTAGCTAGCAAAAACTAATCAGAACGCTGGACACTGGATAATGGCAGTCCTGGATTTAAATGCTAAGTGCATATCCGAAGCATTTAATCTAAGCCTCAAAGTTTTTGGCAATTTATTGAGGAAATTCTTGGAATTGGCATCTTAGAGGATATAAAAGTCTTTTGTCTTTGCCTCAAATTATAGAGATTTCTGCAAAAAATAAGGAATTATAAAGAAATAAGAGGTAACCATATCTAACCAAAACAATTCAAACAAAAACAACAAAAAATATCAGAAAACCTTAAAGATTGGATTGGATTGGATACGCTTACTTTTAAAATGTTACTTTTCAACATATTTTGGATTTTATACAGATTCTAAATATTCAATTGATTTCTCCGACTTTATACATTTTGGTTTAATTTTCTTTTTTTCTTCCAACCTATAAATTTAAAATAGAAAAATCGATAAAATTTCAGTTTTTCAATTTTTATAATTTTATTTATTTTGTGTAAGGTTATAAAACATTTTTCTATCATGAAACAAACAAAACAAACGTCACTAGTTTGACTTGCAAATAATCAGATGTGTGCCACCTAATAAGGTAATTTGTTATTGTTATTGGTATTATAATACAATAAAATGTCAATACAAAGTTTTCATTATATAAAAACTAATGTACTGATAGTAAACAAAATCAAATCATAAAGATACGTTGTTATTTGCAAAGTACTATTAATTTACCTAACCTTAAAAGTACCAAAATTTTTTAATAGTTCTTGTAGCTGTTTCTCACTGTTATAGATCAGAAAAATTTTAACATGTTTTTCATAAAGTTTGTTCCGTTCCTTGAAATCGGGCAATTAATAGGCGTACAGCAGTTGTATAACGGAAAAACGTTTTATTGCTAATAATCCAAAATCTACAACTTTTTCAAACACAAAGTCTATTTTTTTAAAAATACTCTATGCTATGAAATTATAAGAATGACTTAATGACTTTTTCGTTAAAATTCTTAATGTTATTTTATGATCATCCTGTGTCTCTTTATTTTTAAAATATAATTGCAGTCCACTGAAGGAAAATCTAACCCAAATATGTAACAAAGTCGGAAAAATCGATAGATATAAGTGCAACTAAAAATTTTTTTAATCTACAGAGCGTTTATTTAAAAGAACGAAGTGGTGAGTTGTCCACGACAATGCGAATATGGTGTATATTATAACAATATCAATTTTAAAAGTATAAGTGAATCCAAATAACTTTCATCCCCAAGTTTTTTTATATCTATTTTACAGGCTCTGAGGTAAGGACATCCCACAGTGCACCTTTTTTTAATTAACTTTGACTTTCAAGGCCCGTTGGGGAAGTCATACTTATTCCTGATCATTAGTTGATCTCTGAACAATGAATCGTTAAGTCACAGAAGCCAGATTTTCTTAATTACACAAAATTTAATTTTTTATTTATTATTTAATTACACAAGAGCTCCTTTTTTTAGATTCTGAAATCTACTTATAAAATTGTAAATGGAAAAACGTGTTTAGTTTTTCAAAAATTGTATGATACAAAAACTAAGGAACCAGCTAGTACTGTAAGAGATATAAAAGTGGAGATATTCTCTTTTTCGACTGGGTCTTTCAACAAAACTACCTAATCTAACATCAGTTAATATATTAGTTCGAAATGCTATTTTTGGTAAGTTGTCAAAGGGACATTTTCAAGTTTTTAGACCTTAATATCCAGTTTTCCGACAGCATCACTTATCATTTCCTCATACAAAAGAATATTTCCGGTAGTTGTGTCTGTCTTGCTATAATTTTATAATCAAAATACCAGGATAATTTATAAAACTGGAGCAGGAAATTTAGCAGCTTTGATCCAGGGCTGTCATCGACGACCATCGAATTTGATCTTCGTTTAGCTTTCGACATTTTTCTGGCTGCCGCCATTTTGGAAATGCAAAGGTATGTTGCAGTTTTGCCTAATTTTGATGCGAAACCTCTAAAACTATTGCGATAATGAGATATTATTTTGTTATTCCATACTATTTTGAATATAATGCGCACTTTATTATCAAATTAGAGATGACTGCCCGCAGGATGGTACTACCTAAAAATTAACAAAAAGTTCTGCAGAAACTTTACGATATTCGGTGACTCCCTGACTCACAGCACTTTGGGAAACGATTTGAAAATTATATCTGGCAAATCGTCAAAATATCCTTTTCACCTGCAACCGTTTAGTTATAACGTTCTTAGCGAGCGGGCGTTTAAACATGATTGCAAAACTCATGTGATTAGAAAAAAAAGAAAAAAACGACCTCTTGCACTATTTTTAAACTATTTTTATTATTTAAAGCTCCATTAAACGGATGCTCGCTTTCGTGTCATGCTAAATTTGAAAAATATTTTTGAATGAAAACCCTACATGAGATGTTTCGATATTACGATTTTTTTGTTTTTTTGTGTAATTTTTAATTTGAAAAAAAACTCTTTGAAAGTACAATTTTTTTACAAATGATGTCACATAATGAAAACTATAATAGCCCTACTCATAGAAATTTCAAATAGGGGGACTGGTTTATAGGTACACAGTTTTAGTTGACATTTTCTCAGCAGCAGATAAGGGAGAATTAGATTATAGCCAAGCTTTTGGATGCCCTCAATCAAGTTCAAATATTACGGATTTAAATTTAAGACGATTCAATCGATTCGCAACTATCTGGATTTCTGTTTCAATTGGATGTCGACATCGGGGTCCCTCAGGCACGCTATTAGAATCTCTTTTCTTCATTATTTGTACAGTAGATATGTTTGTTTGATTTGTTTAGTTAAACAGTTATGGAAATACAAAAGCCCGAATAAGTCTAAATTAATATACTTTAGTTCAGCTAAGTATGGGACCGCTCAAAACTTTGATACATTTATAAATGGTATTGGATTTCCAGCTGTGGAAGAATATAAAACCTTGGGTGTAATCCTTGAAAACAAATTTAGATTTTGTACACAGGTTTCCACACTTTGCCAGAAGTTTTTTTTTAATCTCTGCACTGGTTCTGATTCATCTAAATTGCTTGTCTATTTATCCTGCTTGGAGGTCTTTACCAAATATAAATTACAGAAAAGATCACGCAAGTCATAAACTTCACAATTTAATTACAAATCAATTTCAAATCGAGTCGACAAGAATTACTTTGCCTCTTTTCATAAACTATTTAAAGCTTGTACTTCTTTTACGGAAAAACACCTAGATAATTAAGAATATTCGTTTATATAATATTATCATTATCTTACCACATATTATAATATAGGCAGTGGGAGAAATAAAACTACTCGTTAAGCAAAATGACAGACGACTGGAGAAATTCGATGCTTCAAAAAGTCGGTACCCTAAAAAGAAGAGACGAATACATTCTAATGCATCGTATAGACGGGATGAAAACTAATATTTTTGGAAAAGCTGTTTTTTTCTTTAACGGCTTTAATAAACTGCCGGACAAAATTGACATTACATATTTGCCACATTTTTGTTGCTATTTTTCTTATCTATGATCCGATTGGGATAAGTTTTTTTGGATTGTACGTTGGTTCCGGTAGCGGGTAGGTATAGCCTATCAGGGGAAATGAGTCATCCCTGCCGACCGCAGACTCCAGGTGCCTTCTGACCCGGAAGGCTGTCGCCTGTATAGGGTCCCAGTCCAGGGTACGGATGAAGACCACAACGGTGGCGAAGGCGTTAGAGGCGCAGCTTCAAAATGGCTTCAATAGCGGAGGTGGCAACCCAGTCTTTAGGGATAGTATAAAGACAACAGCAGCGTCTGACTCAGAGTGAGCGGCTGCAAACAGCGTCTGTCTCAGAGTGAGCGGCTGACTATTAGGTCCTCGAAGAAGGAGGTGTGTGCAAGGAACAGACTTGGGAGAAGGATCTTTGGAAGATAGATCCGAATGAAGGGCTCGATTAAAGGACGGAAAATGGCTACGGCTGTAGACTCCTTGGGTATATATTGTTGCTTCCTTGACAATGTCATAGTTTTCGCTGATAACGATAAAAGGTTCATTTTCGATTTATGCCGGCTGAAATAAAATGTTATGTGTTTTTCAGAAAATTCGCATCACCCTGTGGAGTATACTAACAACTGAAACATATAGCAGTTGACATTAGAAGGTAGCTCCATTTTTTTTTTGGTTAACTTCATTATCTCTGTTATCCAAGAAGATGCACCGTTTTACAGCGTAACATGTTTTTATAGATTTTGTGATTCAGTATATTCATTGTTAAATGTTTTCAAGTAAAGGCTATCGAATTTTTTCGACATTTCAAGCGATACATTATGTGTTTGCCTATAATTTCTGCTCGCTTTGATAAATGAAAACGGAATTAACGAATGAATTTTTTAATAAAGTAATTACAATATTAACATTGCATCTGACTTTACAACAATTTTTTTTGGAATTGCGTGAAACTGTGAAACATGAAACAACAAAACATCAATCAATCACCTCTACTTCGAATCACTGCATTGAAATTAAATTTTTAATTGCATCTTGTCGAATATTCTCCTGTCCTGCAAATTACTGCATTCACCAATTGATTGTGGTTGACCGGTACGAGATTGTGACTTCCAACCTTCCTTTTTAGAACACCCCATAGATCTTCTATGGGATTTAAATCGAAACTGTGAGGTGGCCATTCCATTAATGGAATAGCTACAGGGTTTACTTTAGTAGAGTCGAGAAGATACCTCCATCTTTAACCAACCTTTTCATTGTTGGTTTCCTTAAATATCTTTGTTATTCAAGAAGATACACCGTTTTATAGCGTAACATGTTTTCATTGTTAAATGTTTTCAAATAGGTTTCGGAATTTTTTTGACATTTTAAGCAATTTGTCAACCGATTTTTTGTTCTAAATTAACAAAGGTCAAATAAACTACTGGTAAAAACTCTTCGGAAATTACTTATTAATCGTTCTTTTCATTTGCCGAGTTGTCCGACGATTATTTTATTCTTGAAACATGAATCAACAGGAAAAGCAGTGAGAGCTTTAATTTTAGTGGATGACGGCCGTTCAATCTGTCATGTTGCTAATGTGATCTTACCCTCGAAGGCGGGACAAGGACGAAAACAATGTACCGACCAGAAATTACCAACATGATGGACATAAACGTGTTTGGCGAAGGGCTGGAGAGAGATTTGCAAGTTGCAATATCTCACCAAAAATCCCACGTGGTGGAGGCTCTGTCACGTTTTGGGGAGGAGAGTTAGTGCCTGTGCGTGTAAGATTATTATCTAGAAAACATTTTAATTGAACATGTAATTCCATTTGTTCCTTTTTTGAGACCCAATAGTTTATTTATACAGGATAATGCTCGTCCCCACGTGGCTGGACAAGGTATAGACTACTCTGTAACTACCAGATTGATGGAATGGCCACCTTACAGTCCCGATTTAAATCACATAGAATATGTATGGGATGCTCTAAAAAAGAAGGTTCGAAGTCGCAATCTCGTACCGGTTAACCACAATCAGTTGTCAGTAATTGCAGAATGGGCGAATATTCGACAAGATGTAATTAAAAACTTAATTTCCAGTATGCCGAGTTGTATGAATGCTCGAAGTAACATTATAATATACATTAATTTTATTGTTTTTGATTTTTTGTCGTTTCATGTTTCACACTTTCTTTCGTTTTAAAAAAAAATGTATTTACTAAGTTCATTTGTAATATTAATATTTTAATTAATTTATTTTTAAAAAAATGAATGCGATATTGAAACATCGTTTAAAATGTCGGAAAAATTCGATAGCCCATACTTGATGAAATCATTTCACAGTCAGTGTATTGAATCATAAAATCTATAACAACATGTTACGCTATAAAAAGGTATGTATCATTTAATAACAGAGATTATGAAGTGAAGTAAAAAAGAAAATGTTGGTTGCTGGTATACTCCACAGGGTGATGCGAAGTTTCGAAAAAACACATTTTTATTACACCCTGTAAAATTCAAATCGGATCATAAATTGGGATAAAAAAATAGCCTCGAAAATGTGGCAAATTTATGATATTGCGTTAATTTTGTCCAGGAGTTTAGTATCCAACCCAACTTTTTCGGGTGCACCTCGTATACAAAGTAAAATGCTTTCGATTGCAATAATAGGTTATTGAATACTTACTATAATGTTTACTAATTACAAAATTGAGTACTTTTTTTCCAAATACAAAATTTGAACAGCACATTATTTCAAAGATCGAGACAGAAACGTTTTTGCAAATATAGGTAACATATTAAAATTTGGTTTTCCCATTAATTTTGTGGGGATTTATTTACACTTTAACTCTTGATTAAAAATCCATCACCTGGAAAGTAGTCAACGAAAACCATTTTCATTTTTATGGCAGTTCTTCTTAACCTCTTGGATTCCAAAACTTGCAATTCTTTATCAGTTATTACTGAACTTGTAGGTTGAAAACGCTTGGTTTCTGTGAAGTAAGAAAACAATATATACAAGAAAAAATATGTAAATATAAATATATAGAAATAAAAATTTGAGGGTTAATTACTCAGTACAGTATAAGTACAAAAAACATATACAGGGTGTTGAAAAACAAATACGAAAAAGTTCATGGAATTTTTTGTTATATAAACATTGGGTCAATAGGGAGATATAGCTCTATAAATATGGTGAAAAAATAATGTTTTTATTGTTATTCTTTAAAAACGAAAATAGACACAACAATAAAATATTACGGAAGTATTACTATTACAAAAACACACTTTCTGCATATTTTTTTAATGTTTTTGATCATCTTCTTAACAAAATTTAAGGTAAAACTTGACATAATGACATTAAAAATATAATTTATTAATTTTATATTTGATTTAGAATTTTTTCATTACATAATATTTTAGAAAAACAGTTGTATTTTGTGTCAACATTTATCAATTATCTTCTAGACTATTTTAAGAGTATATATTTTATATTTTATTGCGTTTCAGATAAAAAAAATTAACATTATTTTTCCGCCATATTTGTATCACAATATTTCCCTAGTGGGCTTTTGAACCAACGTTTATATAACAAACCACCTTTTATTTTTAAAAGAGGAACCACCTTCTTACCTTTTTCGCATTTGTTTGGTAACTCCCTGTATAGCAACAATACAGTTACTATAAAGCAACAAACACAATTTCAGATATTAGATTAAAGTAGATATTAGCTTAGATTAAATTAGATTTATTTTATTTTTAGACATTTTAGACGCCAGATTTATTTATTGTTTCACTTTATATCTTATTACATCAAAATTTAATAATATTATTTGATTGTTTACATACAAAAAATGATTTAAAAAATTTCAAATTGAAAAATCTCATGTAGAACGGTATAGTATTTTCCACCAGAGAATAATTTTTTTAAGTAATCAAAATTGATTCTGTTGACAGATTTACATAGCAACCCATATTTCTATAAACATTCTTCCGCTGTTATGGTGATCTCTCAAAAAAAAATGTTTTGATTAGTTAAAAATTAGAGGTATGGAATTTTCATAAAAATTCGATTTTTCATACTTGGCAGGAGATCAAAGTGAGTGGCCATATGTACTAAGCAAGCAACCGTTTTTTTTTTTTTTGTAATAAATCACATTTTTAGTGTGCTGTCATAAATGTTGCATATAAAAACAGTCTCTACGGTTTGTCCAAAGGTTGGACTCGAAAATGTGCGTTAACGAGCACAAAGGATTACATTTCTAAATTACATTAAGGTACAAGTTCGTGGTAATGTATTGTAGTTGTATGTTTGCGGAAAGCAACGTTGTTATAGCTGTAATTAAAGCTTCCGATACACCGCATCACACAGGAAGTCTATTAAAGGAAATATAACAAAATTTGAGCGAAAGTTACTTTAAAATTGTATTGAATTATCTCCAAACTTGATGTTCAACTATATGTATGTGAATGGACGTATGTATACTAATCAACCTGTAAGTGTTCCTTGTTTTACGAATAAGCGCGGAATGAAAAGTTTTATTTCTTAAGATTCAACCGATTCATTCGAAACGCATCAAAAATATAACAAAGCAAAACAAATTAAAGCAATATTATCAACAAGATGCCTGTATTAAACATATCAACAGATAGGTAAATTAAATAAATGTGTGTGCTAATACAGACATATCAAAGTATACGGAAGATTGCTGTTCGATGTTCAATGCATGCTCTGATCTAAATTATTACGTGTTGCTCTACAATGGATGGATGGGAATACGTTTAAAGGAAACGAAACTCGACGGGAAAGAATCTGTAGTCAGATTAGGCTCAATCAAAGTCGCTTGAAAAACGAATTTGAGGCAAACAATTTCATCTCATCTAAAGCACAAAAATTGTACAAATAATATGAGACCTAAAGAACATTACGAAATTTAAAAAAAAATTAAACGAATGGCGCTCTCCTATTGCAACTTTTTTTGCGCTTCAAATGGAGATTATCAAATTTTAAGCACGACGTTTCGGTTTTGTGTGGCAATCATCAACTCTAGTTTTTTAAATACATTTTTTATATAATATTTTGAGTAAGCTTATCATTCTTACAAAAAAAACATGTAATGTTTTGCTATAAACAATAACTTCCCAAAATTGACAATAAAACCAAATTTACACAAAAAATAAGTTGGCCATGAAACATTATTATATCATTTTGTCAATATTAGAGTTTTAATTACATTTTATTTTGGTAACTAATTATAGAGTAGCAAAAAAATAGTGTTTTCAAAAATAAATGTAGGCATTGTTTAGTAAATCATTAGGTTAATACATGTGATTTTTCAGAAAGAGGAGCTATATCAAAATGTCAAATAAAAAATACAAGGTTCTATTAAAAATAATTAAGTTGATGATGGACACAGAAAACCGAAACGTCGGTTTAATAATTAATGCCAACTTGTAGAGGACAAAAAATTGCAATGAGATACTCGCATATGTTTTGAAAAATAGTTTTAATTTATGCCAGGAAAAAATACAAAAGAAATTGCCGACTTTTGTTTCTTCCGGATATCTCCGGAACTAATCGGGATTTTCTCAATTTTGAGATTTTCGTAAGAACACTTAACATTTTTATTATTCCCTGTATAAATCCTACCTACCAACCTACAATGCAAAAAAAAAATCATTTAAATCGGATCATATATTCTAATAAAAAATAGCATAAAAAATGGGTCAAATTTATCATGTTGTGTTAATTTTTTCCAGAAGTTTAGTATCCGATCCAACTTTTTTGAGTGCACCTCGTATACAAAGTAAAATGCTTTCGGTTGCAACAATAGGTTATTGAATATTTGCTATAATGTTTACTAATTACAAAATTATGTACTTTTTTTCAAATACAAAATTTGAACAGCACATTAAAGATTCGGTTCAATCAAAACAGCTTGAAAAACGAATATGAGACAAACGATTTGATCTATGGAATTAAAAGTCTAACCCAACTAACGTTTTTCGAAGCTTAAACTTATATTGCAAGATAACGGATATTTATAAGAAACCTTGGGTTTTATAGTTTTTTTTTAAACAAATTTGTGTTACAAGTTTCGTCCACTAATATGTTGGTTACTTCAGGTTTTTTGGCGTCCTTAAATACCTGATTATAAAACTTTTACTCTAGAGGTTTTTTAGCTTAGCGTAAAACCATTGTTAATCCTAAAGCACTTAACAAATAATCTACAGATAATATGAACCCTAAAGAATATTAAGAAATAAAAAAAAACAAATGGCGCTTTCCTATTGCAACTTTTTTTGCCCTTCAAATGGACATTATCAAATTTTAAGCGTGACGTTTGAGTTTTTTGTGGCCATCATAACTCTATTTTTTTAAATACATTTTTTATATAATATTTTGAGTGAGCATATCATTCTTACAAAAAGAACATGTAATGTTATTCTCTAAACTAAAAGGCCCCAAAATTGACAATAAAACCAATATTAGAGTTTTAATTACCTTTTATTTTGGTAACTAATTTTAAAACAGCAACAAGAAAATAGTGTTTTAAAAAATAAATGTTGGCATTGTTTAATAAATCATAAGGTGTAATACATGTGGTTTTTTCAGAACGAGGAGCTATTTCGAAATGTCAAATAAAAAATACAGGGCTCTATTTAAAATAATAAAGTTGATGATGGGCATAGAAACCAGAAACGTCGTTTTAATTAGTAACTTCAATTTGTAGAAACTGGCATCTGTTTTCAAAAATAGTTTTAATTAATGCCAGAAAAAAATGCCAAAGAAATTGGCGATTTTTGTTTTTTCCGGATATCTCCGGAACTAATCTTGATTTTCTCGATTGTGAAATGGGTTTAAGTTAAGCCCCAAAATACAAACCTTTGCCTCTATTTAACGGATTTCATATCTCTCACGGTTTTCCAGATCCCAATCGAATTTGGA